TACCCGTACCCTACCCGTACCCGGCCGGGTACGGGTAGGGTACGGGTACCGCCGGGTACGGGTACCCGTTTGCGACCCTGGTGCGGCCGGGTACGGGTAAGGAATCAAAACCCGTTTGCGACCTTTGCTCACAGGGGATGTGAGATGAGTCAACCAACTCACTGGCTGATGGCGAGGAGGTTGATCGACCGGCGGAGGAGCATTGGCAATGAAACGGAATCGACGCGTGGAGATGGGATGCGCGGCGGCGCGCACGGACGAATCGATGGACGGGTGGGATGGATGGAGTTATCGATAAGTGAGCGGAATAATAATAATGATGATGATGATAATATATATGGACGGATCAAGGGGGCGAATGAACGCACGGATAGGGTGAAGGGGATTGATGGGGTGTTTAATGAATGCGCGAACGCATGAAGGGGTTTTCGCATTTGAGTAACGCGTATACACGAACGGGGGATAAATCGACCGATGTGCGAATGACCGAATACCGGGATGGATCTGTCTGTAATCGGCGGAGGACCGAATGCAACACCGAAACACGTCGCTGCGAAGGGATTTACTGACGCGTTTGTGGATGGAGGGCCCAGACCAAGTTCATCGGTCTCCCAACGAATACGCAAAATGAGCAGCGGACGCTGTTGCGAAAACATGAAAATCGGTACGCGTGTACATGGATATTTTATTATTATTATTTATGTATCGCCGCCGTGTGTACGAGACTATGGAGGGGGAAGGGGGGGGCGCATGGTGTAGCTTAATCAGTGGAGGAATGAATGCATGGCCATATAAATGAATAAGCATCGCTGGTGCGAGAAAAAAATGCATCCATCACGACGGGTGGACAGATTGCACGGGGCAGGCGAGCGAATTAATCAACTGATCATCTCGGACGGAGATTATCGTTATTATAACGAGATGTTAACAGGGTTCCATGTCTGACTCGACTTGAGCGCTGTGAGGTTGGCTTATCTGGGTGGGGGGTGCGTAACAATTATTGGCGTAAGGCACTGCCACTAGAGTACACGTTACGCCTATGCAATAATAATCCTCTGGCTTTGCACCCCCAAAAAGTATGATTCCCAGAATCCCGTGAGCAGGTTCATACAAATTCGTGAGGACAAAGAAAGGCCGAAAGGTTGGATGTGGCCGGGAGCCGCAACGATTCGCTGGAACTGAACTCCGCACGCGAGCCGGGCTTTAAACGATGCGATGGCTATCGACAGACGGAGGAGATGGAGCGGCGAATTGGGTTCGTTCCCAGTTGCCGGCTTGGATTGCTGCGTGATAGCGGCGGCGGCGGCGGCTTGGGCAGGCCTTCATCCAGCAGTGGATAGAATGACGATGACGGTAATGCATAACTCAAGGAACACGCTCACTGCAAGAGCGCTTTCAGACCACAGGCCACGAGACAAAGATACCCCGTGTAGCCTTCACGGACTGTCGGGGCAAGTTCCGCTAAGCGAACGGAACACGAGGCGGTTGGTGTGGTCGGCACCACGCCCGGCCGCCTTTGTCTCCCGCGGAGCTGGATGTGTTACACACCGCACCAGCTTCTCCTTTAAGGCTGAGTCGACCTAGGCGAGGAGGCATACGAACGGTTCAGATATTCTTCAGTTACGCTTGAGCCGTAAGCGAGAGTCGAACTCGGGTAGCCAGGTTCCGCAAGCAGCAGTTGAGCTCACCGCCGCTCATCCTATAAACCACAACCCAGAACAACAGCTGCCGTTCGCCACGACGCCTGTGCCAGGCTAGGTGCACCCTGAGACCACGTGACGTGCCAAAGGCTGTCTGACAGGAAGGTCACTGGTCAGAACCAGGTGCCGTGGCTGGACCGCCTGAGATGACTGGCCGATGCACAAGCTTTGCTCCCCCACTATCTGCCCGGCGCTCCGCTCGTTGTTGGAGGGCGACTGCCTCCAACTGCCCAGTAGCCTCACAGCGCACCTAGCCTGGCACTGCCCACGAGCCTCCACCTCCTCCACAGAGGCCGATCTTGACACCGCCGCTACCGGTCATCGGCAAAGCAACAAAAACAAAAAACCGTCCGCTCATCCGCACAATGCCTCGCGAACCGCAACTTACTTGGGCATTTTAATATCCCTGGCGGCGCGTGTCACCCTCCTGAGCACCACTTTGGCCAGCACCGCGGACAGCAGCGCTAGGGCGATGACTCCGAACACGATGTAGACCACGAGATTGGTGCGGTCCATGGCGGGGTCGTAATTGGAATCGGGGTCCGCGGTGGGCTTCTGGTTGGCGGTAGGAGAGGCCCAGTCGGGCGTCTTGTAGTTGTGGCACACCGACTGATTGAGCTGCGAGCCGAAAATGTTGCAGCAGTAGCGCATGCTACAGGTGCCGCAGCAGAAACGATACTCGGTCGAGTTGCAGCTGAACGGCGGGTCCCAGAGGCCCATCACGTCGAAGTAGCCGAGGCAGTAGTTCCTTCCGCTTGCGGACGACGACGATGAAGACGACGATGACGACGACGACGATTTCGACGATATTGATGAGGACGATAACGGCGCCGATGAATCTGCCGACGAAGAAGAAGCCGACGACGATTTAGACGATGCCAATGACGACGCCGCTCCCGATGACAATGATGATGACGACGACGACGACGATGGTGATGATGACGACGAGGACGAGGATGATGATGATGATGATGATGGTGGCGCGGCCAGGGGTCGAGCCGTCTTGTAGGTCCGGTTGGGCGCGCTCTTGACCGCTCGTCTCGCCAGCGGGGACCCCATAATCACGAGCAGTGGCAGCAGCAGCAGTGCACACAGACGCATTGTCATCTGCTGCAGATCGGCCGGGAAAGCGGCCCAGCGGCACGGCTCAGCCGACGATGACACACATCGTAGACCCGTGAAGCCAAATCTTCCTCCTCCTCCTCTTCTGCCACCACCACCACCACCTCCTCCTCCGGCACCACCACCACCACCACCTCCTCCTCCTCCAGATCCTCCAACCTCGTGCGCCGCGAACCGCCAGCCCAATCCCTCCTCCCCATGCGGTGACGGAGGGGAGCGAGACGTGATGCAGGAATGCTCCACCTCCTTCTCTTCTCTTGCCTGCTGCTGCTGCTGTGGCTTGCTGCTTGCTTGCTTCTGCTGCTGCTACTGCTGTTGATGCTGCTGCTGCTGCTGATGATGACGATGATGCTGTAGTTGCGGATGCAGCAGTTAGTTGTGTCTTGCTCCCACCGGCGCTCCTCCTCAACGCAGCAGTAGCAGCAGAGGTTGGAGCAGCAGCAGCAGCATCCGTCACCGCCGCTACCACCACCACCACCTCCTCCTCCTCCAGCTGCCTCCACTCCCTCCCACCCCCGCTATTGCGTGCCGCCTCCCTCCATCCGTCGAGATGCGCTCACACGCAGCCCCCACTCCTCATCCCCCCCGCCACACAAACATACAAAGATCGCCCGTATAGCCTTTAACAGGCTGTCGGGGAAAGTGCTGTTCACGAATAGCGAACACCTATGGAGGCCGGAACGGCACACGAGGGGGGTGGGTGGCCTGCAACGCGCACGCCCGACCGCCTTTGTCTCCCCAGTGGCGACGTTCAGACACCGTGCCAGGTACTCATTTGGCCCAGGACCGGTTCAGATAATCCTCGCCGATGTTGGTAGCCGTGAGTGGGAATCGAACCCAGGATCGCCGGGTTCGTAACGCAGCGCGCTCACCGCTGCGCTAACCCCCGGTGAACCCCCACCCATCACCCCCCACACACACCAGCCCGTCCCCTCCACCCCCCACATCAGCCCCTCCCCTCCACCCCCCACATCATCCCCTCCCCTCCACCCCCAATCCAATGTCGCTCAGGCTGCTCAGCCTTAAATCAAAGCACGCCGCCCCAACGTGGCAGCGGGTGGCTGGTGGTGGTGGTGGTGGAGACGGGGGGGGGGGGCGGGGTTAGAGAGAGGGGGGAGGGGGGGTTTAGGTTTAGGGGGGTGGAGAGGGGGGGGGAGGTAGCAAAGAGAGGGGGGGGGTATAGAGAGAGGGGGGGGTATAGAGAGAGGGGGGAGGGGGGGTTTAGGGGGGTGGAGAGGGGGGAGGGAGCAGAGAGGGGGGTATATAGAGAGGGGGGTTTAGGGGGGTGGAGAGAGGGGGGGAGGTAGCAAAGAGAGGGGGGGTATAGAGAGAGGGGGGTATAGAGAGAGGGGGGGAGGTAGCAAAGAGAGGGGGGGTATATAGAGAGGGGGGGTGGGTGGATGTGGGGGGTGGAAAGGGGGGGGTAGCAGAGAGAGGGGGGGTTAGAGAGAGGGGGAGTTTAGGGGGGTGGAGAGAGGGGGGGTAGCAGAGAGAGGGGGGGGTATAGAGAGGGGGGGGGGTGGGGTGGATGTGGGGGGTGGAAAGGGGGGGTAGCAGAGAGAGGGGGGGTTAGAGAGAGGGGGGAGGGGGGGTTTAAGGGGGTGGAGAGGAGGGGGAGGTAGCAAAGAGGGGGGGGGTATAGAGAGGGGGGGTGGGGTGGATGTGGGGGGTGGAAAGAGGAGGGGGGGGTAGCAGAGAGAGAGGGGGTGGTGGGAGGCGTTAGAACGGAGTGGGTGGGTGGGTGGGGGGTGAGACACACGTGGGAGTTGAGAGGCCACCGGTTTATTTTGTATTCACCGCCACGTGCTGCGCGCGAGCTCACAGCTACAGCGGCGGCGCTTCTGTGCTGAGCGCAGCACTGGCGACTCGGCGTGTGTGTGCGTGTGTGTTGGTGGGGGGACATGTGGGGGGGGGGGAGATGTTGAACTTCTTTCGCACCGTACGCAGCCAAACGTGCTATTCGGAGATGCGGGGGAAGAATAACAAACTGTGGGTCTCTGTGTGAGTCTATGGGTCTCTGTGTGGGTCTGTGGGTCTCTGTGTGAGTCTATGGGTCTCTGTGTGAGTCTGTGGATCTCTGTGTCAGTATGTGGGTCTCTGTGTGAGTATATGGGGCTCTGTGTGAGTCTATGGGTCTTTGTGTGAGTCTATGGGTCTCTGTGTGATTCTGTGGATCTCTGTGTCAGTATGTGGGTCTCTGTGTGAGTCTATGGGGCTCTGTGTGAGTCTATGGGTCTATATGTGAGTCTATGGGTCTCTGTGTGAGTCTATGGGTCTCTGTGTGAGTCTATGGGGCTCTGTGTGAGTCTTATGTGTCTATGTGTGAGTCTATGGGTCTCTGTGTGAGTCTATGGGTCTCTGTGTGAGTCTGTAGGGCTCTGTGTGTGTCTATGGGTCTATGTGTGAGTCTATGGGTCGCTGTGTGAGTATGTGGATCTCTGTGTCAGTATGTGGGTCTCTGTGTGAGTCTATGGGGCTCTGTGTGAGTCTATGGGTCTTTGTGTGAGTCTATGGGTCTCTGTGTGAGTCTGTGGATCTCTGTGTCAGTATGTGGGTCTCTGTGTGAGTCTATGGGGCTCTGTGTGAGTCTATGGGTCTATGTGTGAGTCTATGGGTCTCTGTGTGAGTCTATGGGTCTCTGTGTGAGTCTATGGGGCTCTGTGTGAGTCTGTAGGGCTCTGTGTGTGTCTATGGGTCTATGTGTGAGTCTATGGGTCGTTGTGTGAGTATGTGGATCTCTGTGTCAGTATGTGGGTCTCTGTGTGAGTCTATGGGGCTCTGTGTGAGTCTATGGGTCTATGTGTGAGTCTATGGGTCTCTGTGTGAGTCTGTGGATCTCTGTGTCAGTATGTGGGTCTCTGTGTGAGTCTATGGGGCTCTGTGTGAGTCTGTGGGGCTCTGTGTGAGTCTATGGGTCTCTGTGTGAGTCTATGGGTCTCTGTGTGAGTCTATGGGGCTCTGTGTGAGTCTGTGGGTCTATGTGTGAGTCTATGGGTCTCTGTGTGAGTCTGTGGATCTCTGTGTCAGTACGTGGGTCTCTGTGTGAGTCTATGGGGCTCTGTGTGAGTCTATGGGGCTCTGTGTGAGTCTGTGGGTCTCTGTGTCAGTTTGTGGGTCTCTGTGTGAGTCTATGGGTCTCTGTGTGAGTCTACGGGTCTCTGTGTGTGTCTATGGGTCTCTGTGTGAGTCTATGGGTCTCTGTGTGAGTCTGTGAGGCTGTGTGTGAGTCTATGGGGCTTTGTGTGAGTCTATGGGTCTCTGTGTGAGTCTGTGGGTCTCTCTGTGGGTCTATGGGTCTCTGTGTGAGTCTATGGGGCTCTGTGTGAGTCTGTGGGTCTCTGTGTGAGTCTATGGGGCTCTGTGTGAGTCTATGGGTCTCTGTGTGAGTCTGTGGGTCTCTGCGTGAGTCTGTGGGTCTCTGTGTGAGTCTATGGGGCTTTGTGTGAGTCTATGGGTCTCTGTGTGGGTCTATGGGTCTCTGTTTGAGACAATGAGTCTGTTTGTGAGTCTGTGGGTATTTGTATGAGTCTGTGGGTCTCTGTGTGAGTCTATGGGGCTCTGTGTGAGTCTGTGGGTCTCTGTGTGAGTCTGTGGGTCTCTGCGTGAGTCTATGGGGCTTTGTGTGAGTCTATGGGTCTCTGTGTGGGTCTATGGGTCTCTGTGTGAGTCTATGGGTCTCTGTGTGAGTCTGTGGATCTCTGTGTGGGTCTATGGGACTGTGTGAGTCTATAGGTCTGTATGAGTCTATGGGTCTATGTGTGGGTCTATGGGTCTCTGTGTGGGTCTATGGGTCTCTGTGTGAGTATATGGGTCTCTTTGTGAGTCTTTGGGTCTCTGTGTGAGTCTATGGGTCTTTGTTTGAGTCTTATGGGTCTTTGTTTGAGTCTTATGGGTATATGTGTGAGTCTATGGGTCTCTGTGTGAGTCTGTGGGTCTCTGTGTGGATCTGTGGGTCTCTATGTGAGTCTATGGGGCTCTGTGTGAGTCTATGGGGCTCTGTGTGAGTCTATGGGTCTCTGTGTGAGTCTGTGGGTCTCTGTGTGAGTCTGTGGGTCTCTGTGTGAGTCTGTGGGTCTCTGTGTGAGTCTGTGGGTCTCTGTGTGAGTATATGGGTCTCTGTGTGAGTCTATGGGTCTCTGTGTGAGTCTATGGGACTTTGTGTGAGTCTATGGGTCTCTGTGTGAGTCTATGGGTCTCTGTGAGTATATGGGTCTGTATTAATCTTTGGGTCTCTGTGTGGGTCTATGGATCTCTGTGTGAGTCTATGGGTTTGTATGAGTCTATGGGTCTCTGTGTGGGTCTATAGGTTTGTATTAGTCTATGGGTCTCTGTGTGGGACTATGGGTCTCTGTGTGAGTCTATGGGTCTCTGTGTGAGTCTATGGGTGTCTGTGTGAGTCTATGGGTCTCTGTGTGAGTCTATGGGTCTCTGTGTGAGTCTATGGGTCTCTGTGTGAGTCTATGGGTCTCTGTGTGAGTCTATGGGGCTTTGTGTGAGTCTATGGGTATCTGTGTGAGTCTATGGGTCTCTGTGAGTATATGGGTCTGTATTAATCTTTGGGTCTCTGTGTGGGTCTATGGATCTCTGTGTGAGTCTATAGATTTGTATGAGTCTATGGGTCTCGGTGTGGGTCTATGGGTTTATATGCGTCTATGGGTCTCTGTGTGGGACTATGGGTCTCTGTGTGAGTCTATGGGTCTCTGTGTGAGTCTATGGGTGTCTGTGTGAGTCTATGGGTCTCTGTGTGAGTCTATGGGTCTCTGTGTGAGTCTATGGGTCTCTGTGTGAGTCTATGGGTCTCTGTGTGAGTCTATGGGTCTCTTTGAGTATATGGGTCTGTATTAATCTATGGGTCTCTGTGTGGGTGTATGGATCTCTGTGTGAGTCTATGGGTCTGTATGAGTCTATGGGTCTCTGTGTGGGTCTATGGGTCTCTGTGTGAGTCTATGGGTCTCTGTGTGAGTCTATGGGGTTCTGTGTGAGTCTATGGGTATGTATGAGTCTATGGGTCTCTGTGTGAGTCTATGGGGTTCTGTGTGAGTCTATTGGTATGTATGAGTCTATGGGTCTCTG